CTATGTCCAACTCTGGGCACCACAGTTCAAAAGAGTTATTGACAATCTGGAAGGTGTCCAGATGAGGGCAACTAAAATGATCAAAGACCATGCCCTAAAAGAACTGGGAATGTTTAGCCTGCAGAAGAGAAGATTGAGAGGAGACATGATAGCCATGTATAAATATGTGAAAGGATGCCCTGGAGACTAGAACTCAGAGAAATGAGTTCAAATTACAGGAGATTCCACTTGAACATTTGAAAGGATTTCCTGACCGTAAGAGCTGTTCAACAGTGGAACTCTTCCTCAGAGTGTGGTGGAAGCTCCTTCCTTGGAAGCTCTTACAGAGAGTCTGGATGGCCATCTGTCAGGGGTACTTTGATTGTGCTTTTCCTGCACGACAGGGGGTTGGACTAGATGGCCCAGGTGTTCTCTTCCAACTCTATTATTCTGTGATTCTATGCAGTCACTATTCTGAGATCTAACTATTTTCTGTGAAACAAATCTGCTGCTCCCTTTCAATTTTTAAAATGGCAAGTGAAATCTCACACTTTTGACTGACTCTTCCTTTCTTAAATTACTCTGGAAAATAATGCAATTTGGACAAAAAGTCTAGCTTTTAGGGAAAGCCTAGCTAAAGTCTAATTCGCAGTACATAGAAAACAAAGTGCCCATAGGAATGTCTAGCAAAATAAAGTAACTGCAAAATAAGATAAAACGTTCTAACACTAATACAGTTAGGACTTGCATTGTTTTTTACACTATTTGATGTGACAATATTATGCATTTGCTGATTTTGGGGTGGGGGGGAGTTCCTTTTTCTATGGTAAAACTTCACCTAGAATGTTCTGATCATTTCTAGGCATCATGAAGGATATAAACAAGGTAGACTGTGCATAGAGACTAAAAGACGTGATACAAACAAAGATTTCATTCTTAACAAACTTTTGCAGACTGCAATTTACTTTCTTAGATGGATATTGACTTGGAAGCTACACTGGGTTTGGCATTTGTGTATAATTGGCAAAGTGAAAGAAAAATACAACCGTGAGTCTTAAGCAGTAGTAGGGTTAGTAAAGACATTCCAGCACAGATGAAATGAATAATAAATACTATGTTGAAAAGCTGGAATAGACAAAGTTAAACAAAAACGGTTTCTGGTAATAACTCAATATTTATATACTGAAGGAAACCACACATTGTTTTTTCCCTTACAGTTTCTGTCTTGATTTTTTCTATATTTCTCCCTGTGAATCTTCTTTTTTTTTGGGGGGGGGGTGGCGGCGGGGGAGGCGGTCCTGTGGTATTCTTATGGATCTGCAAGGGGGGGGGGTTGACATTAGTGAAATAAATAACAGGGAACTGATGAGAATATCACTCAATCACTTGTGTGTGACACAATAATATTTTGTTGAGAGTGCTTCGTTGGTAGGGCTTTTATTGTGTGTTCCAGGAGCTCGACTGGATGGCCTTTGTGGTCTGTTCCAATTCTTCTGTTGTTCCATGATTCTATGATAATTTGTGTCAGACCAATAATGTATATTGCCACTAATCTCAATAAAATGCTACCAAAGCTAAAACATAGTTGTAGTAAAAGAATGCAATAATTAAAGCACTTTAGTGCAGCCTTATGTAAGAAAGCATTTTGGCTGAGGGCTGAATTCAAATTTAGGGAAATCGTCAGGGGAGCACATGAAATAATGGACCAAATCAAAAACTGTAGAGCCAAAAGGCACTCACATATTTTACCTTAAAGTCTTATTGCAAGTAAGTAAGCCTTAGGGAAGCTGTCTAATTTGGCCTAAATCCTATTTTTTCATGTCTAGAGGAGATCCATTGAATTAATTGGAGTTGTCACTCCACTCAAATACAAATCCCTCCTCAAAAATAGAACTCAACAGTTCAATGGGCCCATTCTAGCTGAGACTAATTAAGACTCTAGACTATACAAAAGTTGGGAAGTAACTAACCGATGTTATGATGGATAAAAGCACACAAGGAACCACAAGAGGGATGCAATGGGAATCCATTATGATCTCATCTGTCATTCTTTTCCTCTATGGATTCCATCCTCCCTTTTGTGGCTTTCATAAATCACAGGATGCTTATAAAGACATGTTCATGACAATATAAAAGCATAATTAGAAACCACACCACCCCTTTGATATACATATTATTTAGATATAATGGATACGTTTTTGTGTCTTATGATGCCAGAAAACTGAATGTAGAACTAAGACTTATACTGAAAAGAGTTATACTAAAGAGTTATATTTAGACGCAGGTTCGCAGCTTGGGAGTGATCCTGGACTCATCGCTGAGCCTGGAACCCCAGGTCTCGGCGGTGGCCGGGAGAGCTTTTGCGCAATTAAAACTTGTGCACCAGTTGCGCCCGTACCTTGGGAAGTCTGATCTGGCCACGGTGGTCCACGCTCTTGTTACATCCCGAATAGACTACTGCAACGCGCTCTACGTGGGGTTGCCCTTGAAGACTGTTCGGAAACTCCAACTAGTCCAGCGAGCGGCAGCCAGATTGCTCACTGGAGCGACATACAGGGAGCATACCACCCCCCTGTTATGCCAGCTCCACTGGCTGCCGGTTCAATTCCGAGCACAATTCAAGGTGCTGGTTTTAACCTACAAAACCCTATACGGTTCTGGTCCAGTGTATCTGTCCGAACGGTATCTCCCTCTACGTCCCACCCTGGAGTTTGAGATCATCTGGGGAGGCCCTGCTCTCGACCCCACCACTCTCACAAGTGAGGCTGGTGGGGACGAGAAGCAGGGCCTTCTCAGTGGTGGCCCCCCACCTGTGGAACTCACTCCCGGGGGAAATCAGAACATCACCAACCCTCCTCTCCTTCAGGAGGAGGGTGAAGACATGGTTGTGGAACCAGGCCTTTGGGCAACCAGGCAATTAAATAAGCAGGATTGTCGAAGTGGAATCAAAACAGATCTTTGAGTTAATGTACACTGATGGGTAGGAGGAAGAACTAGGTTTGTATTGTTTTATTGATTTTATCATTTTATTGATTTTATTGGGATAATGGCTGAATTGTTGGAACTTGTATTGCTGTACTTTTGTGATGATTGTTTTGTGTGGCAGGCGTCTAAGTGCGCCTTGCAGCTGTAAGCCGCCCTGGGTCCCCTTCGGGGTGAGAAGGGCGGGGTACAAGAACCCCAAATAAATAAATAAAAATAAATAAATAAATAAATAAATAAATAAATATTGAAAGGAGCAAAGTAAAAACAAAACTGTCAATTGAAGCACTCATTTTTTCTCAGAAGAATGAAGAAGAACAGTGATTAATATTTTACTCCCTACTCAGCATAACTGAAATGTATTATAGTTAGTTTTACATTATTTTTCTTTTAGGAACAAAGCCATGCCACAGTAACATTATTCAGACACTCACAAAATTCATCAAAGCTTTTCCCTCATGGCAATTGGATTACGCACCAACTGACCAATACATCTGCCTTGGAAGTTATTTACATAGCACATCACGGTACAACTGTCTCTGTGACTGGTCAACAATCATGAAGACACCAGACCAAGACCCCAAAAATCATTATGAAGCTATCCTTCCACCCACAATGAAATGCCTGCTGGCTTCCATATTATGACTTATCTTGCCCATACCTAAAGCTCACACAAGAAAGGAAATGAACAACAGCACTTTGAATGTTTCCTTCAAAAATGCAAGTTCAGGCCTGCAGAGGGTGTGAATTTTTAACACTAGGAAGGTCTTGACTCAATTTTGTGATTTATATATATGAAGAAACTTTAAAAATTAGGAAACTAGTGTCATGCTTGTCATTGCCTTGTTGTGTCTAACTGATTGACCTGAAATCCAGTTCTACAGAACAAAGTAAAGGTTTACATTAGAGAATACCCCAATGTGTGTCCTCACATTGAACAATGAACTCCAGTGAGGTGTTCCGACTATAATAACAGTCATTTCAGCAGTATATAACATCATCAAGAGCTTGGTTCTAGTTAACAAGCTATAATTGTCATTCCCAGTAGAACTGAATTGAGATCAAATTCTTAGTGGTTTCCTCCACACCAACCACATACTTTTATTAGAAGAAATTGGGATATAACCTAATCTGCTGATGGAGCAAATAAAATGTGATGTGCTTAGAGCAAGACTCACTACATTTTTTCTATTTGTTCTAGAACTGAAAATATCTGGAGTTACAAGGAAATTGTGCTTTTGTACACATGTAGAGACATACACATGCATACAGTGGCCGTGTTCTTCAAGTCTGGGAGATTCCTTGCTTTTTGTGTATGAGGAAGTGTACTGGTGATGACCAATGACAGTCGTGTAGTTGCTCCCACCAGCAGAAGCTGCTTCATAACTACATATCCTTCAGGAGGAAAAAGCTAAGCCTCTGAACCCAAGCTTTTGAGCCAAAATTAGAACTGCTGTTGAGTGTTAGCCACTCTGAGTCCCTCAGTGAGGGAGAGAGGGCAGGATATAAAACAAAGTAAATAAATAAAATAAATAAGTAAGGCATCTGAATTTGGCTTATGATTATTGGCTTTTATTTTGAAATGAGAAGGTATGCTTAGAGTCCTGATATAATACTAATTTTTGACACGTTGATGTGTTTCTATTATTTATTTATTTAAAATTTTAAAGCCCTCTTTTCTTCAATAGCTGTTCACTTACCTGAAGTCCACCAGAACAAAAAGGTCTTTGCCTTTCATTGGAAGAAAATATATCACAGGCTAATTTAGGTTCTCTTTGGAGGGAATTCCATAGCCTGGGAGTAGCTAGATAAATTGTCCCCATTACCAAGAATTGCCAAAATTGGATTTGTTGGTCACCATGCATCAGAACAGTCATTTCTGAATTATTGATATGCCAAGATTCTGCTTATTGTTTTGTGTAAACAATCCATTGTGGTTTCCAAAGTGTACATGTACCTTATGGATATGGATGCTACATCGCTTTCTTACAGAGGTAAAGCATGTGTAGGTAGGAACTTATAAAAGCAATGCTGCTTACCGTCATCCAGGTAGGCTTGGTCAAGATTCTGTTCCTGTTTAACAGTGACTCCTGTTGATGCTGTTTCTTTCTGATCACTTACTGGTGGTCCATTTTTGACTGTTCTCTGCTGCTGAATCACGGTAGGGTATGAACTTGGGCTTAACCTTTGTGCTTGGCTGACCTGAGGCTGGCTGGGCCTCACTCCACTGGATGTGAAATTTTCACTACACATAATGTGTTGAAATTCCTGATGGCTTTCACACCTCAAGTGTTGGTTGGTCGAAGGAGAGCAGTGAATCACAGGAGGAGACTGCTGATTGGCTGGAGAATGATGGAGCCCTGCTGAACTTTGGCTGGGGGATCCTGTGTGCACCAACACTGACCTGTGAACATCTGGAATGGAGACTTGTGCAGCCATTAAGCTGGACTGCTGATAGCCCAGGTGGCTAGGACTGAGACTCTTGCTTCTTTGATATATTACAGCCCCTGGGGTTTGTTGAGGATACTGATTTTCAGGAGAAGACAGGCTTGAGCGCAACTGTTGGCAGGAAGCCATTGTGGCCACAAGACAGGAAGGAGATTCAGAGACCATTGTATGGTGTGAATAATAAGGCTGTGTTACTGTTCTTAGACCACTGTGTACTGTATTGCAGATTAAAGCTGGATCATAATCATCAATGGGCTCTGTTTTGATGGAAGGCACTGGAATAAAGTGCATATAAAAGACATGATTCTTAGCTATGAACAGTTAAGAGGAGGAAGCAGGATGGGCACAAACAATAAACACATTGTATATTTCTCCTCAGTCATAGATAGAGGCAGATGTTGGCTTCTATTGGACAACGTGTCTCGTCTACATTTTCATCTGAACTTTAGAGGGTCTATCCAAGGTCCTGAAACCTATCTCCAAAATAGGTTCAGAACATTGGAGAGCTCCTTTAAAGTTATTATTTAATACTAAAGTGGATCCACTATCTCATTGAGAAATGAGCCACCACTAGCAGTATGCAAACACGTGTTAATTATTGGTCTAGTGCAACACCAAGCTATGGCCTTAATGTGTGAAAGAGTCATAATAAGGCAGGAAGAATTTTCATGTCTCCTCTTGTCATCTGAAATACCATGCTTTGTATGAATTGACCCTGAAACATAAGGTCACTGCATCGGACTATAACTCAGAGGACCAGGATTTGAATCTGCGCTCAGCCATTAAACCTACTGGTGACCTTGGGCAACTCACACTCTTTCAGCCTTAGTGAAGGCAAAGTCAAACCCTGCCAAATCCTACTAAGAAATCCCAGTGATAGGGTTACCTTAGGGTACCATAGGTCAGGAATGATTTGAAGACACACAACAACAAAACAAGCAGTATTCCCTTTCATACCAAAGTAATTTTTTAAATCTATTTTTTATTTTCTTCTTTATTGACTTGTCATTTATTTTGCATATATTATTTATTTTATTTATGTTGTGAGCTGCCCCATTTCAAGGAGATGGGGTGGGATATAAAGATTATTATAATATTATTATTGATCTAAATTTCAAGTCAAACCACCCTGAGTCTCCTAACGGCTGAGAAGGGCAGTATAAAAATATAATTTATTTATTTATTTATTTATTTATGTGATTTCTACCCTTCCCATATCAGCCCAAAGGTGACTCAGGGCGGCGAACAGTTGGCACAATTCGATGCCATATAAAAAACATACATCAATAAAAATAGAAAAACATCACATCACAATGTATCTAAAAACATCAAAACAGTTAGGAATAAAAATGTATTCTTAAATACCTATGAAGAAAGACTACATGTTGATTCTTGCCAGTTAAGAAAACAATAAAATTTACAAATAAAAACAGAATTACCTTACTCTTGAGTATACATGTATCTGTGAAATGAAATTCTTTCTTCCAAGTAAAGAACAAATATGTACCTTTTAAAACAAATATGTACTGGCCATGAAAAAAAATCTCTGATCTAAAGGCATAAATGCAAAAACAATTAAGAGATGGAGAATTAGGCTGCCCTGAGTCCCCCTTCGGGGTGAGAAGAGCGGGTTATAAATGCAGGAAATAAATAAATATTATTATTTATTATTATAAATAACCTTCATTGTTATTGTTAGGACTTATTGTTTTCAAATTATTTTTTTCTGTTTTTATTGTAGTAAAGGACTGAAGTAATTGAGCTGAAAAAATATTTTGTAGTTGGGCTGAAAAAATATGTTTAATAAATCAGTTACACAGAAATAATATTTTTGAATAAAACAGCTACAGAAGAACAGTCCCTAATAAATTTGGGCAATATTTTGCTCCAGGCCCCTTGCAATAAAAATTTACCTGGGTGGTAGGTGAAATGCTGTGCTTGGCTTTTTTTCCTTTTTCCATTGATCACATAGAAATTCACCTTGACAGGAGTACGAATGTGCTTGTTCCGATATTCTGGAATCTCTACAAAAAGCATATTCTGAAAATAGCCAGAAGTGGGTTCAGGGAAGAGAAAAAAAAAACATTAGAATACTCACTGGCTATTATGTAGTGGGATGCCTACTAGAAGTAATTTTATTCTCCACTTCTAGAATGTAGCAAATTTTAGATAGGATAAATAAACATTCTTGTTTATTATATTAGTAGCTCTAGATAGCCTTTTTCTTCAAAAGTATTTATGCAACTGAAAAAAGAAGATAAAGGATATTATCATGGTTTAATACCTGCTATCCGTGGGACAAGCTAGCATCATTGTTTTACATCTAGCTTGCACCTTTCTTTGTCTTAAGGCATAATAATCTTAACCTGGGATTATTCTGTTCTTTCATAAACTACAATCATTCTCTGATAGATTCTCAAATACTTGTGGCCATTTGTTTATGCAATCTAAAGTATGAAGCAGTCACCCTAATAAAATGCATAATAGTCTCAATGCAAAATGTAAATTATGGGGTTGTTAATACTAGTTACTGCACTGCAAAGCTCTTTTTAATATAAGGAAGATTTTAGGTAAATAAAAATCATTTTGGATCAACTATTTTAACAATGCAGCCATTGATGGATTGCAGCTATTGTGTTTACAAGGCTTTGCTTGCTGCCACTGAATGAAATGATGTCTAAAAACTAGGAAGAGGAAATGCTGATACAACTTACAGGCTGGCTCTTATCTTTATCCACGGTGGCTTCCATCTCCCATATCTGTTGACCATCTGGGGAAAGAAATTAAGTCCTGCATAACAACTGTTTTCCAGAACATACAGAATACACATGTAGTTAAAAAGGTTATAACACTATAGCTCTTTTAAGTGTTTAAAGTATTCTGTACACATTATCATACTGTATAACTATCTGAGAAGTTGTTCTCCATGCTGCAAATAGGAGGTTAAGGCTGAAAGTACAACGGGGCCACTGGAAGATTTCTAGTCAGAAGTGAAATACAGATTGGAGCCTTTCAAAATCAGATCGTAATCCTTTCTCATTTACCCAGAATCTCACTCAACATTTCACCTTTCCTTGTGGGAAACATGCACATGATTACTCTCATTGTTTCTTAAAACTATACAACATATTGAATCATCAACATGGCAACATGAAGACCATTATGTCAACCGGAGTTTCTGAAAAATGTTAGCAAAGTATTTTAAAATTATTTTTAGGACTTCCACAGAATGCCATGTTTTGATTTAGCATTAATATTAATATATGAGTCAAAAATATAAAAAAATATGCCTTCTGGAACTTCACCGTTCTTTCCCTGAAATTGCAAATACTTTCAGTCTGCTTCCTAAGGAGGACCTGCTAACCAAGTCACATTCTTTCCTAGTTTTATGTAAGACCACTCTTTCTTAAACTGTGGGTCCTGACCCCAATTGCAATCCCCTCAGCTCAGCGTCGGGGTCATGAAAAAAGTAGCAACAGTAAGAGGTTACACAAATCATCCAGTGTTTGCAGTGGACTCTGAAGAAAATGCTTCAGCTGTATTCCACAAAAGAAAAATCCACCTGTTTAGCAAGCTGTGCAAATGCTGATTTATTTTAAGGATATGTCTTATTTTTATACCTATTTTATATACCTATATACCCAAGGTCACATGAAAATTTATCAGGTAAAAAAGGGGTTGTGAATTGAAAAAAATTAAGAAGCCTTGTTGAAGACCATTATGTCTTTATCTGTTTTCAGCTGACGCAGAAGAAAAACAATTGATAGCACACTCCAAGCAGTTTTTTAATGATTTTTTTAAAAAATGATATGATGTTCCCACCACTTTAGCCTCTTCTGTGAGCTAAAACTTTCCTAGTTCCTTCAGGCCTTCCTTGTTGCTCTTAAGGCCATACACAAGTTTCTTTCCTTCCTCTTTACTTTGTCAGCATATTACAGGCAACATGCAAATGGAGACGGCCATTTCATTGGCACTCAAAGTATGTTTCAGCTTCCTTGGATTGCTCCCAGACATTCTCAAGTGAAGCCAGCTTACTGTTACATGGAATGGGATAATAGCTTTTTCTATATTATGTTATACCTTCTCGGTGATTGCTCCCTGGCTATGGAACCCCCTTCCTGGTGAGATCAGGTCGGCCCCCTCCATCCTGTCCGTTAGAACGATGGTAAAAACTTGGCTGTGGGACCAAGCTTTCGGGACAGGACAATAAAGCGGCAATAGGAAAGATGACCAGGCCAATTGATTTGACTAGGATGGTTTTAAATGGTGTATTTTAATATTTTGATAAATGTTTTAATGTTTATGTATTGCATGTGAACTTGTGTCCCAGCATTGAATGTTTGCCGTGTATATGCTGTGCTCTGCCCTGAGTCCCCTTCGGGGTGAGAAGGGCGGAATATAAATGTTTTAAATAAATACAAATAATAAATTATACCAGTGCTCCCAGGAAAACTGTGTTTTTTAAAAGACATTCTCTTACTTAAGTTGTAAATCATCCAAAGCCTTTTCTCCTCCTCCTTAACCACTGTCACCTGAGTGCTAATGCTTTGTATTTCTGCTTCTGTAATTATTGTTCTGTGGGATGATGAAATAAAGGTGCAACTTCTCCTGTCCCCAGAAGAATGATTAAAGCCATACATGAAATATGTCACAAAAGTATTTATGGCACTTGGGATCCTCTTTAAGTCAAACCAAGGAGTCTATTGAGAGCTGGCTCTGAGTAACTTGAAATAAAACGTGGCTATTTTCTAGAGCACGGTAAAGAAGAGACATTTTTATGAGCCAGAACAACCAGTTCAAAGCAAGGAACTTGCTTGTCAGTATTGTTAGAAGCTTGCCATAAAATCACCGTCCCTTGGGGCGATAGGGGAAGGGGAGGCAGAGGAAGAGGGATGACTCAGATGCGGCTGAGTCAGAAAGACCTCTGGGACTGACCCTGGGTGGTTGCAGTTTACACCCCGGTCCTCTCTCAAGGGGGTTTCCTACATGCACACAGTACTCCATTGTTTTTGTAGCCAGCTAGTGTGTAAGGTTTCCAGATTTTCGGTGTGTCGTTCCCAAACCAACCTGGGCAAGCACATCTCAATTGAATACTCAGCTTTCTAAACAGGTTAATTATGGCACTGTTACACACAATCAGCCAAGTCAAGGTGACCTAGACTGCAACGCAACAGACTAAACACTGGACAGACAGCTTAGCTTCAGGTATACACTGTGCTTTTAACAATGCTGGTAGTAATAAATAGATAAATACTAACACACAAGCACAGCCAAGGCGACCCAATGCTGAATCAACGTCTCAGTTCAGCAACTCGAATGCCAAGTTCTGCAACTTCTGTGCAAGGTTAGCAAGTCTGCAGAATTTATTCTGCTTCTATTACTTTTGAGCAAAGGCAAGGGGTAAAGCAGAACAAGGGCACTCATCATTTCCTTCATCCATCTAAAATCATTTTAAATGAGCAATACAGAGCTTGAACTCAAAGCACTATGGATCTAATGTTAACCCCTGTCATAAATATTACTGTGGGCTAGATGCCAAAATTATTGCCCATTTTAACAACTGACACTGGAGGGCCAATCTGGTGATATGAATGGTTATGACTCACTGGACTACTTGGTTCTTGCTCCATCTGGTCAAGTCTTTTCAGGGTATAGTTGTTGTGGTCTCTCTCTCTCTAATCCCCAACTACTAGCCTACCCATTTTGCTTCAGTGTAGATATGAAATGAGAAGAACAGAACCAAGTTGTTCATCCCACCTTGCTTTTGCTTGCAGACTGCAGTAGAGGAGACAATAAAGCTAGTCTGTTTTACTGAGATGTTATAGTGAATATAGTTAGACAAAGAATTTATTATGTGTTCAGCTTTTGGAATTGCTGTACAAATTGCTACATCTTGATAATATTTATTTAATCCTTGCTTTCCTCCCTCTTCTCCACGGTTTCATCATGTATAACTTGCATGCTTTCAAGTACATATTCTTGACAGTTTTGTTTTTAAATCCACAACCATGATTCTCAAATACATTCCAAAGACTGCACCCAAAGCCAAGCCCTACTCTCATGGCACACCTAAAAATGTGAAACTAGCTTTGCTGAATCTGTCCAAGGTATTAAGCTTTCTTTTAATATTAACTGCAGAGATGAGGGCATAATAATACAGAACAGTTGCATCTCCAGGTATTAGATGGCAAATCAATCATCTCTCCAGTGGCTGATGTGAATTGCATTTCAACGATATCTGGATGGCCACAAGTTGCTCACCCCTACTCAGATATTCTGGAATTAAGCCTTGATTATATATGCCAGGGATAAGGAATTAATCTGGGTTTTACATGTAAAAAAAATAAGAGAGTAGAATCCTGGTGTGATGTGTGGACAGAACTATTTCTTGCTAGGACCTCTCTAGGTCCTCATGCACAATTCTATGAGATTCCTAGAGAGAATATTGTAATAAAATCCACAAAATTTAAAACCGCAAATGTTGAGGGCTGACAGTATAGTCTAAATATATACATTCTACCACATAGGAACTCTACCATCTGCATCCCACCTTAGTATGCTACATGTGAGGACTCAATATTATATGAACAGACACAAAAACTGATCTAACATAAACTAGGCACAGCATTCAGAATCAGACATCCCTCCAGAGACCAGTGAATCATGCTAAAGCCACAGAAACATTTGATTTCATTTAGTGACCAAACCACTGGGATGGCACTAATAAAAGCCTATGAATCTTAAATGCTAAACATAACCAGATGATGTTTTAGAATTTAGATATACCCCAAAGTCTAAAAGAGGTCTCAACAGGGGGATAAAGATAAGCAAAAGTAATGAAACTCTGCCTCAAATGGATGAGCTTTTCATTTTTTATGGTACAATTTTGAAAAAAAATTACCAAGATATATATTTTCACATGTATATAGCCATGTGCCCAATAGGTAAATGTTTCCCTTAAAAATCTGTTACCTGGAACAATTAGCCCTGTTATAACCTTGTATTAAAAGGGCTTCTCTATGGTTGGTCTGAGGTATGAACGTAGAAATCTAAATATACTAAAGATATCAGATCTTCTATAATCTTGGAATCTAAACAAAGTCAGCATTGGTTAGGAGAATGCTAATGAATACTATGTGTTGTCTTCTCTAAGAAAATCCTATGAAATTCATAGTCATAAAAAGTCAATAGGCCACATACACACATGAAGCTGATCACATGGGCTGCTGTCCACAGAGCTCAATTTGGACCTTGAGATTTTAGTGTCTGGGACAGCCCTGACACCTCTATATGGATCTGTTTCTTTGTGGCGGCACATACCTACATAACATTAGTAATTAGAGGGGAGCAGAAAAGGCATTAGGTTCCTCCTGTTGTTACAGTACAGTGTTGAAATTTATCTCCTAGCTATTACTGCACTGCTGCTTGGAGGAAAACAGAGGAATTTTATGGACAATTTTAAATTTTGGCATTGCTGACAGCCAGCTGCCTGTTTCACATTATTCCAAATATTATATTTTGTTGTGAGCCACTTAGCAACCTGTAATGAAGGTAGTACATAACATTTCTAGAACAACAGGGGGGAGGGGTACAACTCAACACTAATCTGTATTGTAATCTAGATCTCAATAGTGTCAGATAACTGGTAAGTCTACATATGATTTTCCCTGCCATTCTGTTTTCTATAAAACTATAAGTGCAAGGAACAATTCCAAGAACTGAAAATAGAATTCTACCACCTCACCATCCATCATCAGGACTTAAAAAACA